TAGCGTCCTCAACAGTTTAGTACACGACTTCAAAATTCTTAATATTTTCCGATATAAATTTTATTCTTCTTCATAGATCAGCGAATTTCCTGATGAAAATGAAATTATTGTAACGAGAATATTTTAGCCAATTTCAACTCCGTAGCCAATGTGGTCCGGCCTGTTGGATAGCGATAACGGACAAATATGAGCTATATGAGCTAACAGCTTTATTAAATAAAATATAGTGTGATGTCATATCTCTCACACAGTGCTTAGGATCCATTCAATTTTGATGCGGATCCGGATCCTGGATCAGCACTGGAAAAAAATGGATCCGGATCCAGGTCATTTTTTTGAAGATTTACTGAGATTTATTAACAAAACAAAATTTTCAAATTTTTGGTTTTATTTTTTCGCTTATTTTTATCCTAAAACTTGATGAACCATTCAGAAATGAGGAAATTTTTATAATCTTTTTTTTCAAAAGTTCAGATTTGGGGTTTTGGAGTAAAAAAGATTTTTTTGCAGTTTTTGGTTGATATTTTATCCCTTGGATCCGGATCCGGATCCTAAGCACTGCTCTCACAATATATGTATCTATAAATTGTGAACTCTAACATATCAGTGTGAAATTTGACACACAACCTCAGTTTATTTTTGTTATATTTGAGGATTGGGTTAAGTTAAGCCAATTTCTGGGACGAGCGCTGCCGAGGTGCAGGCTTTTAGGGGGCCGAGCGCCGAGGCTAGGGAGCCGGGCGCTGCGGCCACAAGAGCATTTAGCAGCTGTAAAACCACGTGCTAGTAGGTCGGATGTGTAGTATAGAGGCTTTGAAATTGTCGTAGGTCAGAAATGAAGCATAGCGGATTTGCGTAGGTCGAAAAATACGCCCCCTGTGGTAGTGTTACATCGTCTATACGCAACATCCCCCCTACTGAACTTCCGACCTCCGGCAATATCGGACCTACGCCAGCTGTTTATTTTTGTATTATTTGAGGGTTAGGTTAGGTTAAGACAATTTCTGGGCCAAGCGCTGCGGCTAGGACAGTCTAGGGGGCCGGGCGCTGCGGCCAGAAGTCCATATAGCAGCTGTAAAACCACGTACTAGTAGGTCGGATGTGTAGTATAGCGGATTTGGCGTAGGTCAGAAGTGGAGTATAGCGGATTTGCGTAGGTCGAAAAATACACCACCCATTTGTTGTTTATTACTCAGCCTTGATCGTCTTCTTTTTATTTGAGTCTAGACTTAAAATTATTCATGTGTGCGGTAAACATGTCGCAAGCTAGGATCGATGAAGGTTCGTACTAATACAAAAAGTGAAAATAATGGCCGACGCCCGAGTATAGTTTTGATAAACATTTACAAATTGTTTTATTTAGCCAAATTTGTCGAGATATGTTACACAATTTGATGTATGATTCTATTCAAGACATGCATGTTAAACTTCTCGCTGTTTATTACCATGTTACAATCAGATTTGATTTCATTCTCCACAGTACTTATCTCA